TCAGCAAGCGGACCTGACCTAGGGTGGATTTTATATTGGGTTTTTTAGGAATTTGAAAGACGCAACTCTAAATTTGGTTTAATTCGGTTTTAAGGGGGGGATTGTATATATGTTTTGGTTTTAAGTATGTTGTGCGCCGCCCTGAGTCCCGTCGGGAGAAGGGCGGCATATAAATTAAATTAAATAAATAAATAAAATATTGTTATGACAATTGTCAATTTTTTACCAATTCACACAATTTAGTAAGGCCTATCTATACAGAGCTTTTTCTAACTATCCTGTTTTTAAAAAGCATGTATTGTAGGAATGTAGTACATCAATCAGCTGCTACACCCTTTGATTATTAGTGCAATCCATGATGTTCTGAAAAAATGTATTTCAATAAGTCTCTGTTTCTAGATAACAAACTTTTCCGTTAAGAACAGATCCTTCAGTATGGACATCCATCAGTATGAATTGTTTATTTATTGTCATAAATACGTTTATTGTTAAATCTTTGGTGCTTCTTGTGCTGGCATGATTTGCATATCATGCTGTGAAAAAAATGGGCTTTCACTGAAATTTACTGCCACACACTTGCAGAGTTTCCTCTGTATTTTTTGTTGAAACTCTTTAGAACCAAAGTAATAAAGAAATGGGTCAAAACAGCAATTAAAGCTGGCTGTAGCAAGTGACAGTTTGTATTCCACATAAAATGATTTCTTTTGAAAAAGGAGGATATAATGGGTCACTGACATGACAATGTAAGGGATGTAACAAACAGTAATCAGGAACAGCAATGTTATGACAAAGTAGACAGTCTGCCTCTTGGTTTCTCTGAACTGAGAAGATGAATGGAGAAGTGTTACTATGATTGAGATGTAGCAAAACCCCATGATGATCAAGGGTAGGAAGAAAAATAGAAATAGCAGGGATCCAAAATAAACAATAAATTTTTCTGGGGAGCTAAACATTTCTTTTGGCAAAACATCAAAGCAGGTGACAATAGGGAGCTGCTGTAAGTGAATGGTGAGCTTATGCTGCATGAGAGGAAAAAGGGTGAGTAAAACCAAGGCCCATATGCCGATGCACACCAGGAAAGAGGCCCTAATTGGCTTTGCTGTTTTGTAGCGCAAGGGGTAGACAATGCCTACATATCGCTCTATGCTAAGGCTCATCATGGTTAAAACGGAGCAATGGAGGTTCCCATATGACAGAATGGTGACAATTTGACACAAGACATCTCCAAAAGGCCAATTATTTTCCTTTAAATGGTAGGCTATTTGAAAGGGGAGGACAAAACCATAGAGCAAGTCGGCAATGTTTAAATTAATGCAAAATATAATGGTAGGAGTCCAAGGCCTTGAACACCAACAAAGGAACCACAAGGAGATTAAATTGAGAGGAATGCTGATACTGCAGTTGAACATGAAGAGGGCTGGCAAAATTGTCTGCATCACGTAGTTCTGAAGTGCAGTCAGTGTGGCATTGGTCACATTTCTGGGACTGTTTAGATGTGACATCACAAATTCTGATGTGATGGCAAAGGAGACATTCTGAACCATCTTTCTTCTGAAAATTAGTCGAGCGTCAGTTCTAGATTTAAGAAGGAGAAATACAGGCTGGTGAAGAAGTAACCTTTTGCTGCAACATATAAATATTAATATTTCTTAATTAAATATTAATATTTAATAAACACAAATATTTCTTCTTCAATTCTTCACTGATTACGTCTGAAAGCAAAATCTATTATGATCTCCTTGCTTCAGTATTTTTACTTGAAAGGAGGAAGATTTGTTCTTGCAGCAATAGAAGTTTTAAATGCCAAAATTACATCTCAAATTTTATATGGAGCTTTGATTTGGATGACATTGTGCTAATAGCACAACTGCAAGTGAACATTTTAAGATGTCTTTTAAGTGTCCCAAGCTGTATTCCAAATTCTGCTATTCCCTTGGAAACTGGACAATGACCTTTGATAATAAAGCCTTGGTTAAGCACCATTTTTGGTTACAAAGGTATGGAAGGAAATTCCAAATGAATCTTTTTTAGATATGTGATTGAAACAGATGACTCAAAAGAATAATCAAATTTATAGTGATCCTGATTATTTATTCCCCAGGTTTGACAATTCATTATATCAAAGATAATTCAGTTCAGGAATTAATAGCCAAAGCCAAAGTATCATATTCACCTGCAACATCTAGAATTAATTATAGACATACTTTTCAACTCTCTAAACATTTACATAGTATATATTAAAACATTTTCAAAATTTCAGATTAAAACCAAATTAGATATGTTGCCATTAAATAAGGTATGTGGTAGATTTTTTAAAAAACCCATCTCTCAAAGATTTTGTCCCTGTAATGGTACTGATCCTGCAATGGTGGATTATATTTTATTGCATTGTGAATTTTATAAGAGTCTTCAGCAGGAAGACATCTTGCCTATTTTAAAATTTAAACCAGTACAAGTATGTAATTTCTGAATATGTAAACATTTTATTTGCAGATGAAAATCCTAAAACAGATTTTTAACACTGGATACTAAAAAGATATACCGGTAACTATGTCTTTTTAGATATTCAAAGGACCACATTTTACTTTTGACCTGTGTTCTGTTAATGGGACTTAAAAAGCAGTCTAGGGCAGGGCAAACATATAGACATAGCTAGCACAACACCTGCATTTGATTTAATTTTAAATTACTTTAAATTAAAATATCAAGATATTTACTCCTTATTATGTCATGCTTTTTCTCTCTTTTTTTTTAGAATTTTCAATGTTAGAGCAATTTGAAGAAGGATTGGAGGGGGTGGGACTACCCCCAAACCTTCAAAGGCCACAAACCTTAGAAGGTGACCTGAAGCCTCAGGGTGTGCACCTGAGTATTAGATTAGTTTGAGTTTAACTGTGATGTTACAAGCTCAATTGCAGGTCATAATCCAAAAAATTAAAAAAGTTATTATGGGGACGGATGGATGGACAAATGGATAGATAGATGATAGATGATGGATGGATATACAGTAGATCACCCTAAAAATATAGTCAGAATATCAGCTGCTATGGTGTGATCAATGCACAATGCATACAAAAACAGGTAGAGCTTTCATTGAACTGTAATCGGCACCATCTTGATTTTGTAAAATCACATTCTGAAGCATTCTGAATGTGTATGGATGTGGGTATATGTTATATATACATAACAAAACAACAGTGTTAATTCAAGGGTATATGTCACCCCTAGGCCACATTGATTGATGGTGCCATCTCCTTCCAATATAGAAGAATATTATTTGTTTGTTTGTTTATTTGGTCCATCACTTTCAATGTAAGATTTGCATTTTTGGAGTGATTTTGAAGGAGGGATAGTATTGTTACCTCCTAAACTTGGGTCCCTAGGCCAGGGTCTATTTGTGCTTAGGTTAAAGACAGCCCTTTATATGGGAAACAGCTAAGGAGACATTTAAACATTTGAATTATTTTTACCAGAATATGGTGTGCATTTTTTCCTGTTTTTTCCTCCCAAAATATAATTGCACTTCTTAAATTGCTGAATTAATTCATGGATTGCATAGAGAGCTTTGGCTATTGGTATTTTGGAAATGAAATGAGGTATGCAGGAATAATTAATGAGCTTATTATATGGTATGAAAAATCAGTAGATGTAGGAAGAAGCACAATAGCCATTGTAGCAGCCTGAAGCTGTAGAAGGACAGGAGATGCGGAACCACAGCTTCTACATACAGTGGCAGATACAGTGGCAGGAGGCTAATACAGATAATCATTGACTTAGACCAGAATTAGAACTAGAATTTCTGTTATAAGTGATTGAGATCATAAGTCAAGTTGGACCTGATTTTATTAAAATGTTTATGGTGTCATTAAGTGAATCACTACAGTTGTTAAGCAAATCATGCAGTCATTAAGTGAATCCAGCTTCCACAATGGATGTTTTATGCTGGAAATTGCAAAAAAAGGCCAAAAAGTGCGATTACATGACTGCTGGATGCTGCAAACAGCTGTAAATGTGAGCTGGTTGCCAAGCATCCCAACTGTGTTATGTGACTGGGGGTGGTGTGACAGATGTTAAGTGTGTGTACAAGTCATAAGTCTCTTTTTCCAAAGCTGTAATAACATTGAACCATAATTCAATGAGTGACTGTAAATCAAGAGATTTCTGCATAACTACACATAAATATATATCTAGATGAACTATTGTCTCTACGTACGTTTTAGATGCCTGTTGAAGTAGTTTATGTGTTCCCATATATTCTGAAGTAGAGCTCCAATATTTCCTGTCTATGCTATCTGTGACTTTTGGAAGTACAGGTAGTCCCTGACTTACAACAGTTCATTTAGTGACCGTTCAACGTTACAACACTGAAAACAGTGACTTCTGATGGTTTTTCACACTTATGACGTTGCAGCATCTCCATGATCACATGATCAAAATTCAGATACTTAGCAACTGACTCATATTTATGACAGTTGCAGGGTCCCAGGGTCATGTGATCCCCTTTTGTGACTTTCTTCAGAAAGCAAAGTCAATGGGGAAGCCAGATTCACTTAACAACCATGTTACTAATTGAATAACTGCAGTGATTCACTTAATATCTATGGCAAGAAAGTTCATACAATGGGGAAGAAATCACTTAACAACTGTCTTGCTTAGCAACAGAAATTTTGGGCTCAATTGTGGTTATAAGTCGAGAACTAGATATAGTAGTCAGAGGTTTTGGAGAACACCAGAAGTTTTCTAATTTCACTCCAGATTACATTCTAGTTTTCAAAAAGATTTCCATGACCCTTCAATAAAAATGGAAATATACTTTTAAAAAAATAGAAAAATTGAAATAGTTTTGTAAGAATGCCTACATGGAAAAAATAGAAAAAGAACTGATATAGTCTCATGCAGGGCTGACTCATACGTTGTCAACTACTGAAAAGAAAATTCACATGAGGTTACACATGCTTCATTCTGTATTCCTCTTTTGATTTGCTTGCTTGCCCATTGTATCCAAAATTAGAAACTGAATGACTGCAACAAACAGTGATGATTTACCCTTTATCTAGATATGAGTAATCTGTAGCATTTAAGTTTTGCTTAATTGCAACTCATCCTTTGTCAGCATTGCCAAAAATGATGAAAAAGTCCTAAGAATCAGTGTTTGAAGAGCCACAGGTTCCTACCTTCTATCTCTATCAGCTCTAAGCAAAGGCTGTCTGTTCAACCTTTATGTATAAAATATGACTGTATTCATCTGTTATCTTTTAGCTTTTGCTCTTTAGATGTACCATCTGTTATGGTGAGATTTCAAGCTTTGCTGCATAGCATGAAGGAAAACAGGCTGTCTTTCCAACAACCATGAAAAATTATTTAGACATAATGCTTCTTCGTAACAAAGGTGCAGAGTGGCACCCTTCAATCTACTGAGTAGTATGTGGGCAATGATGTAGGTGACTCAGATGCTATGTTAGCTATGACTTGTGGAACTATAGGTTATCCTCCACTTACAACCACAATTGGGACCAGATTTCTACTTGAAAGTCATTACAGTCATAAATCAAGTCTCCACATAACTGGACCTAATTTTGTAACATTTTTGCAATGGTTGTTAAGCAAATCATTTTGTGATGTTATTAAGCAAACAATTCAGTCATAAGTGTGAACCCATTTTCCAAAATAGGTGGTGTTTTTTGTCAGAAACTCTCATAAAAGAATCATAAAACACGGTTATGCGATTGTGGGATGCTACAACTGGTTGTAAAGGCAAGCCGGTTGCCAAGTGCCCAAAATATGCTAACCTGACCATAGGGAGGAGGGAAGGGCACAACATTTTACAATAGCCAGAAGTGCTTTATTGTCCACAATGCACCTGTTCCAGGCCCACTGTAATTCTGAATGGCTGTTAAGCAAGCAGTCATAAATCCAGGACTACCTATAAAGATAATACAGGTAGTCCTTGACTTATAACCACAATTGAGCCAAAATTTATGTTGCTAAGTAAGACATTTGTTAAGTGAGTTTTGCCCCATTTTATGACTTGCCACAATTGTTGAGTGAATCACTGCAGTTGTTAAAGTTAGTAACACGGTTGTTGAGCAACTCTGACTTCCCCATTGACTTTGCTTGTCAGAAAGTCACAAAAGCTGATCACATGACTCTGAGATACCGTCATAAATATGAACCAGTTGCCAAGCATCTGAATTTTGATCACATGACCATGGAGATACTGCAAGAGTCATAAGTGTGAAAAATGGTCAGAAGTCACTTTTTTCAATGCTGTTGTAACTTTGAAGAGTCACTGACTAAACGAACTGTTGTAAATCGAGGACTACCTGTAAGCACAATCTGCAAATGAATCAGCATCTCTGTGTTCCTCCCTTCTTATCATAAAATGGGAAATGCATAAAAATGGTAGAGTAACCATCCAAATAAGCTTACATATATACCTTGCTATACCTTTTGTGGGTGATGCAAAGCATAGAGAAACAGTAAGCAGTACTAAGCAAAGAGAAAAAGCAAAAAATTCTAATGACATCTAGTTTATACCACCCCTGTCTTTCTGTCTTACTTTGGGAGATT